GTATTAAGTGCTTTACATGCATTGTTTCATTTAATCCTATTTGGTTGTCATATTATTGCTGTTTTTATCCCACAGACAAATACATAACTTGTCTATGGTTCTAACCCAGCTCTGTGTGACTCAAGTCCATGTATATAACCAGTGTGCTTCCCAGCTTTCCAAAGAACCGTCTAACACTCACGTAGGCCTTTTGGCCCCACACTTGTTGAGTCAGTTTAAAAACTTTTACTGTGCCTATGGCTGTAACACCCAAGGGTCTGTAGTCTCCAAGTCTGCAGCAGAGCAAATGCAGCAGATGAGAAAAACCACCTCGTAAGCCGTTTCAGAAGGTGCTAGTTTACAGCTTGACTCTTTTTTTCCTTTTCTTCTTTCTTTCATCCCTTCCAACAGGAATGATGGTCCTAGAATGATGATCACTTGCAGCTAACTGGTTCTGGTAAACTGTCTTATAATATGTGTTTTCCAGAAGATCCACTATATTGTAAATCAGTGCCATTGGTAATTGATAGTGATACTATCCTTAGAAACAGGTTATGCCCAACATGTTCAAATAGAATTTAAAGAGGTATACATTTGATTGGCAAATATTCCCTCCTAAAAATATTACATGAAATGTCAGCTAATGAAAATGCAATGAAAGCTAAGAACTTAATAAAGAACCCAGAATCACGCGGAATCCAGGATCCTGAATAGCAGAAGCCATGCTCCTGACTAGCTCTTGACTAGCAGTAGTTTCCAGACATCTAGGTTTCTTGGATGAGGAAAAAAAATAAAGTGCAAGTGGGAGAACTAGCACCGGTGTATATTAAGTGTTAAATTTTGCTAAATAAAAATGTTTAAAGAAACCTCTAACATCAACTCTAGTTGAATTAAGGACATTTGAAGAATCAAAGAAACAGGAAGGGTGACATTTCAGAATGAGTTTAGACACACTATTCTTTATTCCCTCTATAATTTTAATAAAAAACAGAACTGCAAGGATCTCTCATGCTTAGCCATTCAGTCATGTCTGACTCTTTGCGACCCTTTGGACTGTACCTGCCAGGCTTCTCTGTCCATGGGGTTTCCCAGGCAAGAATACTGGAGTGGAATACTGGAATACTGGATGTATCTCAACAAGGCATTTATAAAGGCCTCAAATACTGATGGTTATTACATCTACTTGTTTGATTAAACCTATCCCTAGTTGAACTTTTCTCATGTGAAATCCTGTGCTTGGAATATAGAGAAACAAACCAACCTAAAGCAAACAAGCAAAAGCAGACTCAGGTATGGTCCTAATTCGGCAGAGTTAAGAGTCATCTGAAAATTCCCAGATTTAGACAAATGTTCAGTGAAAAGGTGATGATTGTCCTGGGTCATTAGAGGATGCAGCTAGGCTTGTAATCACTGACATGGTGATTGATGTGCATGCCATTTACTCCCCAAAAGGGCCAGTGAGCAGAAGACACCCTCAACTTCCTGAGCCCTGACCTTCAGCCACAGGAGCTGATGGGCCCAGGGAAGCCTTTGTATCAGTGAATTATCTTGGGAGTGAGAAGTTAGAATTCTGGAAATACATTCTCTTGGATGACCTTGTACTCAACTTTGTATTCAACTTTGCCATGGTGAAGAAGTATATTATCATGTACTTGCAGGAAAATTAAAGTTTGGAAAAAGCAAAAACAGCTAAGGGAGATATTTCAGATGATTTTAATTGGGCCTCAACTTATGAAAGGTTAAGGACTGTATTTGGGGCTTTTATTCTAAAGCAGTTGTCCACACTTCCACTCTTTCCTTCAAAACCTTGAATTCAAGCATCTGAGCAGTGCTGGGTAAAACAACCGTTGGAGTTGACGCTCAGCCTGCAACAATATGCTTGGTTTCTCCTCCTCCAAAGGAAGCTTTGGCTTTTATCAGACTAGGCTGCTAGGCATCCTGCTCTCCTTCAAACAGTATGTTTCTTCCTGTTTCTCTGTACTTGCATCTTCCTGTTCTCCCGAGTTCTTTCCTAATACCTGGTGGTCCTACAATGCTCCCCATGTTTTCCCTGAATTTTTCCTTGAACAGTTGATTTTTCCTTTAAAATTCCCTGCTGTGAGTTCCCTGGCAGTCCAATGGTTGAGACTTCGCTTTCCAATGTAGAGGGTGTAGGTTTGATCCCTGGTTAGGGAGCTAAGATCTCACTCACCTCGTAGCCAAAAAAACCAGAACATTAAATTCCCTGACAACTAGCAACCAATTCACTGCACTGCCCACCACAGTTGCATGTGCGTTAGCCTTAGCCTTTAGCTTGATTATAAAGCCTTTGGAATAAAGAGTCGATGTTTTCAGATCAACTTCCCAAATACTTTATGAGGGCCCATTAAGTGTCAAGTACTATGCTAGGTACTTAGTAGGGATACGGAATACCTTGATAGGAATAAAGTCATAAACCTTATCTTTCAAGGAATGTACAGTCTAGTGTGGGAGGGAGAGAAGTTTCTCAATAGTTCATGGAAGACTATATATGATTTTAGGA